ATATATATATTATATTTAAAAGCAAGAAAAAGCAATTATTTCGTTTTGCTCGTTAAGATCAGTGTCAGGATACTTCATTGACAAATGTACATCTGTTGTTTTTACCGATGTTATTTCGATAAGATTTGCTCGAAAATACAAAGCTATATGTACATTTTGTCGTCCAGTTAATTAAGTTAACGTGGTCTAGATTTTACAATGGAGATAAAGATGTGTTCATTTTTAGAATTGTTTCTTATCGTTAATAACGCAACACGCAACGAACGGTTTTCACGTTTCAATGCGATCAAACTCTACTTTCTATGTTCATCCGTTGCGCGAGAATGACCATGGGAGAAAGTCTTTGAACGGAAGTATTTGAAACCAGTATCGCACTATCCATTTAATAATCAATGTGCGGATCTTTATTGCGAAAGATACTTTCTATCGTCATAAAAAAAAAAAAAATTATTCGCAGCATAACGATTCTTCCTCAATCATTCCCAGTGATACCGAATTTGTTATTTAATTACTTTCGAAATAATAAAATACCATTTTACTCGAAATGTTCCTCACTTAATAAAAATTTAATTTACAAAACAAATTTTATTTCTACGTGAAATATTGGGAAGTAGGAGAGAAAGGGGAAGGAGGAGTAGGAGTAGAAAAAAAGAAAATCTTTTGATTAAAAGCAGTTGTTTTTTTTTTTTTTGACACGATGAAACAAAGAGACAAATTGTTCATCGTTTCATAAAACTTTGATATCCCAATTAAAATTCAAGCAACATCCTTCTAAAGTTTCACGAAATCAACTTTATTGACCTCGAACTGTATAAATAGTAAAATGTTTCTCCTGACCCTTGAGTTTTACAAAAGTGAAGAGACTACCTGACGTCCATCCCTAGGTTTCTCCCATGACATTCATCGAAGTCAGTAATAAACACCATCAGCATCGCTTGCTTGATCCATGCCACGATGTTCAACCCCTGAAACGAAAAATTTCTTTATGGTAGATGATGTATACACAGTTATACACAGGTGTCTTCACAAGATTTAACCAAGGAAGCTTTTTAAAAAGAAGAAAAAAAAATATTGAAAGAAAAGATAAGCACATAGAAATAGAAAAAGAGAGAGAGAGAGAGAGAGAGAGAGAAAGAGATAAAGGAAAGAGAAACGGTCAAGAAAGACAAGGTAAAAAGAAGATAGATAAAGGTGAAGGGTCGCGAAGTTAGAATTCACGATGCATTATCCGTCTATGTGATCCTCACTTAGCTCGCCATTGACAAACGTAACAATATGGGCATTTACCATGGAGAAACATAATTGAATAAGGGCAGAGGGGATGCCAAGGGAAGGAAGGCTACAGAGAGTAGCTCTCCCCTCTCTTCCTTTCTTTCTCTCTTCCCTTTATTCCCCCCACGTTCTTCCACGGACCGCTCTTACAGTCCCCTCTTTCAGCCTTAGTTAGGTCCTTTCTAGGCTCGCCTTTTTATTCTCCCCACCACAACGGCCCGTCTTGCCTTCTCAGGGTACCTGAACCCAGGGCCCCAACGCTCTGTTGAGAGGGAGAGAGAGAGATCAGAGTTTGTGTGCGTCTATATATATATATATATATGTGTGTGTTAGTGTGTGTGAAGAGTGTAAGAGAGAGATAGAGAGAAAGAGAGGGGCCCAAAGCATCGTCCGACCAGTCAGTTGAGTTCTGACTTTGGTCGGAACTGGTTCGTAACTTCTTCGTTTCTTTCCTTCCTTCTCTTTCTCACAATCTTTGTTCGCGACACTCTTGGATATATCACGAACATAAACTCCTTTTTTTCAAGACACTACAGCATCATCCTTTACTACGTCTCTCTCTCTCTCTGTTCCACATTAGTTACCTAACTCCGTTTATCTTCTTTCCCTTTTAGTGCCTATATTTCACAGCCGTGAAATTCCTGAGGTTCTACGGTTAACGTTAAAGACACCTTCTCTACGGAACGAACGCACGGTGTGTTTCACCTGTCGGTGCGATTATTTCGATATTTTTCTTACTCCTCTTCCCTTCCCCTTCTTTTTCTCATCGTGTTTCTCGTCTAGTTTCTTTTACTTAATTTTTTGTTTTTCTTTCTTTTTTTATTTTTTTTTATTTTTGTGCATCTCTTCCCGAAGAGTACACCACGGATGGGAAGCAACGATAACGACGCGAGTGCCTTTGTTAATACCGTTTCATCGGAATAGTGAAAATCAAATTTAAAGGAAAGGAATGTGCGTTTAATGCGTTTGTTTACTGGTTTGCTTCAATTTGTGTGGATCCACGTTTGAACGAATATAAATACTTATTTTTTGTTGTCTGTGTAATATCATTGGCAAAAGATATCATGGAGGTTCACGCGCATCATTACAGCGCCCTAACTTCGCGGATGAATCAAATCAAGTGTTTTCCAGCAGACAAACTTGTAAGAATTATTATTATTATTATTATTATTATTATTATTATTATTATTATTATTATAATTTTAGTTTTAACACATTGCATGCGTATTTCGTCTAGCGACGGCAAAAGAAAACTGATAGTTAAATCGAAACGTTCAACGCTTATTCTTCATTTTTGTCTTGAGAAAATTTCACTTTCATTGTAAAATGAAGACAAATTTTCCAATGTTCCCATGCACGCACATGCTGGGGGGTCCGTTAGTTGTAAAAATACAAAAATCTTATTCTTAATTCAAAAAACTTGTCCTAAAACTGTTTCTCAAGGTCTTTCTATATTTCTTTTCTATTGAAAAGTACAAATTCTTTTGGAAAAGTTCGTTTGGGAACAAAGACTCGGCAGGGAAAAAAGGGATGGGGGAAAAAAAAAAAAACATATTTTTGGTGAAAAGTGAAATCGAATAAGAGAAGAAGATCCTTTTCTACGGAACGGAACTTGAGAAAAAGAAAAAGAGAGAGAGAGAGGAGAGACAGAGAGAGAGAGAGAGAGAGTACGTGGTGGTTGAAGGAGAAGGAGGATCGTTTCTATTGGACCTTTTTCCGCACAAATCCTCGTTTTGTTTCGTTAGGCTCGACCGGTTTCAGAGATAAGGCTCTCCCGCGGGCCTCGTGAACGCTCGACAAAACGCTCTCAAGAACGTGCGTCGTCTCTCGCACACAACAAATAATACCTGATATATATATATATATATATATATATATATATATATATATATACCTAACACATTGTTGCACAATTAACGTATCTCATTTTTCCTTTAAAAATTCATTAATGCGCGAGATTATAAATAAATTAAAAAAAAAAGTAAAAGAAAAAAAAAACAAAATTCAATATAAAAGGTGAAAGTCGAAAGTGTAACTCATTTCCGTATAATCGAAAATTTAATTATAATATTCTTATCGGCAATATTGAAATAAGTAAAAGTACGATTAATAAAGTGTCATTTTAATTTATGAATTGATGAAACGTTGTTATAGAGGAGGAAAGACGTTTAATTTTATACTAAATATAAGTAACATATTTAAGAAACTTGTTGGTCCTCTTATCCAACTTTTTATTCTTCCTTCCTTCCTTTCTTCCTTCCTTCCTTCCTTTCTTCCTTCCTTCCTTCCTTCCTTCCATTTTCTTACTTTCTTTTCTTAAATTCCTTTAAATTCTTAAGCATGGCTAAATTTCGCGCGGTACTATTTCTCTGTACAACAGAGTTCAACGAGGATTGCGTGTAAACTGTATAACTACACAGTATGTGATGAACAATGATATTCTTTACGCGAGTACATTAAAATAAAGTTTTTGATAATTAAATTATAATTTTTCTTAAAGACATAAGATACACAACACATAAATTAACTTTGATAATTTAATATTAATAATAAACAAACAAATGTTTATATAATAATAATAATAAATACAAATTCAATAATTAATAATATAGTTGGTACAAAAATATTGAGCTAGTGAAGTAATAGAATGAGCCAATATAGTGGCGCGTCGTGCTTAAGAATTTAAATGAATAAAATCCTTTTAATTTGTTATTCCAATTGAATTGGTAGAAAGTTGTTATAGTAAACATTTTCATGTTACAATTGTATATAAAATATAAGTAACATATATCGGAAACCTGCTGTTCCAACCTTTTATTCTATCTTCCTTCCTTCCTTCCTTCCTTCCTTCCTTCCTTCCTTTTTCTTATTTTGTCATTCTTTTCTTAAATTCTTTAACTCTCACCGTGCAACGTGCACAGTGCCGCGCACTTTCCTGTCGCGCAGGGCAAAGTTTCCGCAACGGTGCCATGAGATCTTATGTTTATGCAATTGTTCGTAGCTTTACTTAGTAGCGCCTCGTTTCGCCGTCTCGATAAAATCTCAACGACGAAAGAGGCTTAATTAAGTGCGCGGGATGGAACGAGTTACGTACAGGGGACCACTAGTAGAAAGACAAAGATAGAGATATAGAAAATGAGAGAGAGAGAGAGAGAGTAAGAGAGTGAGATTGTGCGCTGTTGTGCGCGCGCGCAACCGAGCGCACACAAGAGCGCGTTGTTCATAAGGAAAAGAGAGAGAGAGAGAGAGAGAGAGAAGAAGAAGAAAAGGTTGCATCACGGAAATTGACTTGGTGCTGGCGACAATAGTTTCTCAAGGCGCGTTACTCTCTCGACGACGACGACGACGACGACGACGACGACGACGACGACGGTATAAGAGACATTCCAGGCTAATAAATTATTGCTTGAACCAACTTCGTGTGCTGCAAGGACATTTTTTTGTCAGAGGCGGTTGCATTAATGCAAAGAAGGCAGGCAGGCACGCCTTGAACTTTCTCACGTTTTACTTACGAACCCACGCTAGACTTGACCCGCGTGACAAGCTCTCTCTCTCTCTCTCTCTCTCTCTTCTTCACTGTGTGTGTATGTGTATGTATTTGTGCTACCAACGTCATTTTCGTCAAATCGATCTATTATTATACTATTATTCTTTGCATTTCATTACTTATTTATTCAATATTATTCTTACATTGTATTATTATGTGTACCTTGAATTTAATGTATTCATCTTATAACGAACTTTAGTAAATTTTTTAACAATTTTTCTACTTTACGATAATCGAAAGTGTAATTCAATTTATGTTAATTGATTTTTTTTTTTTTTTTTAATATGGGCGATTATAAATAACGTCACTTTTCAATTTGAATAATTTCGTAATATATATATATATATATATATATAAGACTTCTTGATATTTCAACGTTGAGATTGTATATTCGGTTAACGAGATGTAATCTCGTTGTTTAATCATGCATTGTGCTCGCTCGCTCGCTCGCTCGCTCGCTAACGCGCAGGTGCCACACGATGGTTCCAGGTTTGTCGTGCGCACGTTAAAAAAAAAAAAAAAAAAAAAATAAAAAGAAAAAATATAGTTGATCAATTTAGAAAGAGGAAAGTAGTATCGTCTTAACCAAAGCGTGCGGAGTACCACTGCGTAGTTGGACACGAGAAGAATGGGAAACCATCCGTTAGCCTTCCTCCTTCCCTCCGTCCGCAGTGGTGCTCATTCAAACGATTCAACGATTCTTCCAAAATTTTCAAAATTTATATACATATATGTGTGTGTCTGTATGTGTAGCTATATATGTATATATAAAGAACGATGCAACTAATATTTCGAAAAACTCATTTTTTTTTGTCCACAACGTAACTTAATTAAAATACTTTGAAACTCGTGTTAACTTGTCTCTTGAAACGAAGGTTGTGCACGTGTAGCAATGAAATTTCGTTTCTTATCGGTAAACTAAACTCCTCCCCTCCTTCTCCTCCTCCTCCTCCTCCTCCTCCTTCTTCACCTTATTAAGAATATCGTTTAACGTTAGTAATTTATGAATTTACATGACTGCACCAAAAGGTAATAAGAAATGTTGTCTTCTTCTTTTTCTGCAGCAAGAAGGCGGTCCAAGTGCACCAACGAGCACTCAGTTATGCGCGGGTTGTGGCGGTCAGATAGTCGAAAGATGGCTGTTACTAGCGATGGATCGCTATTGGCATAATGGCTGTTTGAAGTGCACATATTGTAATGCGACCCTAGCAGAAATCGGCCACTCTTGCTACACCAGAAGCGGCATGATTCTCTGTAAGACCGACTACAGAAGGTAAGTTATATATATTTTATATTTTTATCTGTTTGTTTATTCGATTTTTTCTTTAATACAAACAAAACAAAAAATAAATTAATTAGCACACGGTTGAGAAATGAAAATGTTGCCTTTTATCGATCCCCATGGATCTCATTAAAACTTAGAATACATACGTAATTTTGATTAAATATTACAAATGGATAAAGTATTAATTTAATGAACAAAAAAAGACATAACAAATAAAAAGAAAACAATAATAAAATATATTAAAAAAAAAAAAAGAATAAAATAAAATAAAACTCGAGGTAATCTATAATATACTGATTGATGATAAGTCGAAACACTTGAGAAATATGTTTAAAAATTGACATTGAACTGAATGTGATTATCTAGAAGCAAACTAAATACGTTAAGGATCATTTTTAAGAAAACAATATCGAATATCGGCAGAGTACAGGATATGACGATAAACGTTTGCCGATGAACGATGCAGGGAATGTGCAATGTGCAGTAATAAGATTAAAGATAAAACTTGTGACTCGATATCGTGCTTGTAAGATGAAAAAATGTTTGAATCGAATGAGTGACGAGAAAAAAAGTACAAACAGGGAATAAGAACGAGACAGAGACAGACAGACAGACAGACAGACAGACAGACAGACAGACAAACAGACAAACAGACAGAGAAAGAAAGAAAAGAAGAAAAAAAGGGAAAGAAAAATGACGAGAAATCGTGTGGGTATAGATAATGCGTAGTGTGTTAATTAAGATAAAGTATTAATTACGATAAAAGTCGTGCGACAAGACAAAGATAGTGAAGCTAGGTAATCGAACATAGCGATATTTGAAGAGCGATAAGACAGAAAAGAGAGAGAGAGAGAGAGAAAGAGAGAAGGTAATACACATCGATATTCGAGAACGATACACGGAAATTAAAGAAAATGGATTATTCCACCAAATCGAAAGTTAACCGATGTCGGTTTGTTGAATCACGAGTTATTTGCTTCTATAGTAATATAACAGCAACAGCAACAACAAAAAGCAAAAAAATGGGAAACCTTCGCCGATACAACGAGGATATCGGATTTCCGTCAGAAATCGAGAGAAAAAAAGAATCGTAAAATGAATTCGAATAATTTTGTAATATATTTTTTGCATCTCCGTTTAACATAAGAAATCAATCGAAAATGGCCGAATAGTAGCAATAATAGTAATAGTAGTAGTAGTAGTACACAACACGTGGTTGTAATGTTGGTCCCGATAATAACGGTAAACCTTAACCGTATCTCTGAGAAATCTCTTTTTTGGTGTTTTTTTTTTTTTTTTCTAACATTCTAACAAATAGTATCCCGTTTGTGTTCGATAGAAAATTGAAAACGTCCAGAAACTGGCCGGGACGAATGAATATGTACACCTAATCCACGAGGACCGTTCCAAATTTAGAGAGATTCGAGGTCAGAGCGCAATTTAATGAGAAACAGACGTTGAACTTAGTCGGCACACGAAAATAGATTGACACAACCTGTGTCTTTTCTCTCTTTCTATCTTAAGTACATATATTTACCTCTATACTGTATATCTCTTTGTGCGTGTGTGTCCGTCCGGTTGCGTGCCTAGTGCACACGTAAGGTAATGAATACGTCTGATTTTTTATTCGACGACCGTTTCTTTTATACGTATCAACCGATTAAATATTAAATCTCGTCCGATCGATCGAACAGATATACTACTATGAATTTTCTAAAACAACTCCCGAGTCTCGCACTAACTTTTACGCAATACTTCTTCTTCTTCTTCTTCTTCTTCCGACAATATGATATGTATCGAATCATTTAAATGACTACTGACCCTTTATCTTCTCGTTGATTCGTCGTCATAGTCGTCCTCGTTGTAATTTTCCTTAACGTACATTTGTCTATTCCTCGCATCGAAAGAACTTGAGTATTCAACGTTTTATTTCAATGTTTTCTCTATTATTTTTAAGAGACATTGTGTTGTTGAGATTACAATGAATATATATATATATATATATATATATATATATACATATTCGACCATTTATTTGTCTGAATATTCCCGTACGAATAAGCACGAACTGGTGCCAATATGGCGTAATGCAACGTTCCTCGGAAGAACAACCAGTCTCTTGCTTTCTCTCTCTTTCTCTTTCTCTTTCTCTCTCTCTTCCCCCCTCTCTTTCTCTCTCTCTCTCTCTCTCTCTCTTTCTCTGTCTCATACTGCGGCCGCGTCGAGCACACGTGTCACGTCAGCAGACGTATTTACCGTCCCAGGTATTCGTATTTACCGCGGATCAGAATATGGGGACTGTAAAAATGGCCGGTCACATATGTTTCCTTTCAGAATCCAGATGTTGCAACTGCAATTAGTATTTTAAAAACTCTTTTGTTGATTTCGAAGAACGACTACTATAAATATGTGAATTTAAAAGATAGACTAAATCAATATTACTTAATAAGGATGGGAATAAAATTTATATTATGATTCAATTTAATTCTAAGCTTTTTTACAATAAGCATTTCGTTGTGTTTGTCAGGTTTCATTGAAATGAAATTATTTCTCTGTAATATTTGATTACCCTTGTACTTAACTATTCTTAACTAAATAAATAAACTGAGAAATAGAGTCAGAAAATAGATTTCAATAAATAGACATCAGATAGTGTAGTTAGTTAGATAGTAGATAGATTCTTGGTAATTTTAAACATTTCTCAAGTCTACCCAAAATAGTTTGACGACTCTTTCATAAGTTGTTCATATATTCGACCTACTGGTATATACATTCTCAATACGACTCTCGGGCGTCGTGCACGTACTTCCTAATCTGTTGGCATAGTGGAACGATTTGGTCTAACGTAGTATCAATATTTGATCATGGAACATCTCCAGACGTCCATCCAGCTAATGTTCATGGGAACATTGCTTCGATAAATCGAATTTCGAGCTGGTACAATATAATGATTATTCGTAGTTGTACCTTCGAAGGTAGTTGTTCTGAAATCGTGACGGAAATTGCATTGTCTCATTTCAACAAATACATATATATATATATATATATATCTTCTCAATTGTTCCTCGAATGATAATGATTTCGATGAATACTCTAAATTCTTCCATGTAAAGTATTATTTATTTAAGATAAAAAGAAAAAGAAAACAGATAATGCATTACAGTTTGAGAATCAATATTTACGAGGAGAGAAGAAGAAAAAAAAAGAAAAAGAAAAAGATAAAGAGAGAAAACTTCCCCGTTTGCCGTTCAAGAATGGAAAACTTATTTAGATGAAAAACGAAGAGAAACTCCTCCTGGACGATGGATACAAACATACATAAACAGGACGGAGAAAGTCAAACATGTCGCGGAAATTGCTACTCCTTGATGAAAATCAAGATAAAGAGGACACAAAAAATGCAGCATCGAATTCTCGTTGCTCTAAAGACGATGGTAGATAACATCTATGTGTTATGTGGGGTGGTGGTGGTGGTGTACGGTGTTGACGAGGTATCGAAATCAGGCCCTCGTACAGGAATAAGAAGAAGAAGAAGAAGAAGAATACAAAGAAATAAAACAAAGAGAAAAAGAATACTGGCTAGATGGGAATGTGTGTAGTTACGCGCGAGAGGGTGGACGAATAAAGAGAGGCGTGAGAGAAGAAAAAAAAATCCGACAATTTGCAAAAAAAAAAAAAAAAGTAAAAAAAGAAAAAGGGAAGAAAACGGAGAAATAGAGAACAGTCGATCGGTGAAGGGAGAATAAGTAGAAGATAGAGATAGATGGTAAAAGAATGAGATAGAATAAGGGGATGAGAAAGGGAAGAAGAGGAGAAGAAGAAGAAGAAGAAGAAGAGGAGGAGGAGGAGGAGGAGAGAGAAGGTAGAAAACGTGAAGGATGGTAAATGGGGGTGAGGAGAGTGAGAAGGGGGTACAGCGTCGGCGGTTCGTTTCTTTTGGATTCAAGGAATGTTTCAATCAGTTTGATTGAAGGGCTGAGCCACGGCAAGAGGGTAAACTCGATTTACAGGCGTGTAGTAGGGGGTGGCTGCGCCAGGAGTAAAGGGAAGGGTAGACCACCGCGTGCGGAGAGGATGCGCCGTATAGGAAGAGAACGAGAGAGAAATAGAAAGAGAGTGTAAGAGAGAGAGAGAGAGAGATATCTGGAAGGGGTTGGTGACTGTGTGTGGTGGACCAGGGTGAGGTGCAGGGATGGTACCACAATCACCGAGATGCGTCCAATCATCCCCACCCTCTTCACGTCCACCCCCTCCTGCCGTGCTTCTCGCACGGAGTGAGCCTGAGAGAGCAGCGCCATCGGGTTTCGGATGAAAGAGTGAGTGTGAAGGGAAGAGAGAAAGAGAAAGAGAGAGAGAGAGGGTCGAAGGGATTGACGGTGGATTTCGGAGCGAGGAGAGCGGCCAATCATCGCCCGGCTTTCCGCTGGAGCGACGTCGTCGTTGTGCTGGTTTGGCCTAGATGTGCAATCAGACCGTTTCAGGTTCCTCTCTCTCTCTCTCTCTCTCTCACACTCTCTCACTCACTCTTTCACTCTATTTCTCTATCTGTCTCTGTTACTCTCTCTCTTGGTTACCATACCCTCTAGCATTCTCCCCGTCGCGTCGTCCTCCTTCAGCTTCTGGCCGAATACCAAATTCCAGCAATTTGGTAGGTGGGTACTTTGTTGAATCAACATGATTGGGCTTGACGGAGCGCGGCGACAGGGTGCGTCTCTTCTAACGCTTATATATA